GTCATTTATATTTTACCTACTATAATGATTCCACATTACGCATATAAAGAGTAATGATAGGATCTTATTTTTTCTTATGCAATTTCATTCTCTCCGGTCGTTAAAACAAATTTCATTAGAAATATATGTGATTTAGAATCTTTGTATTGGGTAAAGTACAGAAGCCATGGTACACAAGAATTTCTCCCAAATCCAGTTGAAATTAGAGTCACAGAAGTACTTTCTTAATTTTCTTTGAATAACCTAGAGGGACTAGAACTTTGCAATTAACCCTAAAAATCTCCATCCCTACAATTACGTACCTAGAGTAAACTTAATTGTGATTTATTGTTGTCAGGCTCAGAATGCTTCAGCTTCAGGTTTGAAAGCAAACACGTCATTCAACGAAAATTTGGAAGCAACGCCATTGATAAGGAGGAGACCTGCTGGTTTTCTGAAACGCAACACAAAGCCAAATGACTGGAGTGAGTTGGAACTTGATGCTTTATGGGTTGGTGTTCGTAGATATGGCCAAGGCAATTGGGGAAGAATCCTCACTGATCCAGCTGGTTTCATCTTCAAGAATAGAACCCCACAAGATCTATCCGTCAGGTGGCAAAAGGAGCTTCTCAAAATCTTCCCACTTCCACAACCAACCACCTCTATTTTTCCCCCTGCCGTGCCATCTCTCAGAATTGGAAGCTCTCATTTAGGTCCTAATAATAATAACGCTTCTTCTTTAGCAAATCCTCAGGGCCCATTATTGAATGCCAATCTGCAGCCAAGACTTATGTTTCAGACACTCCATGATCAGAGTCGGCCCATGGCGGCGTTGCAGACTCCGGTGATGACGATGACGAGAAACTGGTTTCCGACAGGACCTCATCATCAGCCTAATAACATCAAAATGGATAGTTATAATAATGTCCGGTTTCCTTGGATTAAGGATAACAAGAATAATAATAATAATCATAATAATGCTGGTCGCCCCGATCACCCCATTGTCGTTGATTCAGATTCTGATAAAAACTCAGGCGAAGGAGGCTCTGAAGCAACTTTGTCTGCTTGATTCACCCATGGCTGGTTTGTCTCAACGTATGGACAGTTTACTTGATTTAGGGTTATAATCTAAGAACTTATAAAATGTTTCTGATCAGTAGTGTGTTTGAATACTTTTATATGCACCAGATGATGTAGTTTTATAGTGTGTTTTCTAATAATTAGTTTCTTGTAGAACCTTAAAGATATGTAGCGTCTGTCTGGACACCATGTCTGCAGGATGCATGTAATATAGCTTCCGTAGATTTCAAAGTTCTCTCATATAATACCATTATACTTAATATAAAAGCTCGTTCAACTTTTATTTTGGTTATAAATATAAGATCTCAATCTACTTTGTCTCTCATATTTATCCATTTTTTCTTAAGATAATTCTTATAACAATAATATTTCTAGCTAATGTACTTAATTATCAAGAATATTTTAAGAAAAACAACACTTTATTTATTATAAATAACTAACTTAACTAATTTTCTTAATGTATTCAAATTAGTCAACTAACTCTTATATTATAAGGACCAAAGGTAATATATATTACCTCCGGCTTTAATATAAGAGCTCGATAATATTAAGAAAATTAGTTAAATTAGTTATTTATAATAAATAAGTGTCATCTTTCCTAAAATGTCTTTGTTAACCATATTTATTAAAACAATTTTGCAATCACCATGGACATTACTTGGCAACAAAATAGATAAATATGAGAGACAAAATGAATTGATGTCTTATCTTTAGGACTAATTAAATTTTTTACTAACTTTTATATTTAGAACCAAAGCTAGTAGTTGCTTTGGTAGAGTTCTTTAATTTCTTATACTCCATTCGCAGGCACAGCTGTATATGTGCTATAAAAAATTCTGAAAGCACACAAATTAAGAAAATAAGATGAAGAATGATATAAAAAGGGTACTTTTTTACTTTTATAATACACACATAACTGAATATACTTTCTTGTGTATTACAAAGTTTAAAAATACACCATATTATTCATAGTTTATAAATAACAAAATTCACTATAAATTTTCTTGTGTATGAACGTTTTTCTTTTTCTTAAGCTGTGTAGCGCGCAATAATGGTGTTAATTATGCATTGATTCTGATATGTTTGGCTATATGAATGTTTAGTTTAGCGTTCTAATAAAGATATACACAGAACTTGCACAGAGACATCATATTGCTAAGGAGCTAAAAGCCCAAACTCCCAGCTTGTAGCACTGCTACAAAAATTGGTTTTATATTTGATCAAAATTAAAATAAAATCAAACTTTATGGACTAAAAATTGTATTAACCGCATTAACCCTTTATATACTTTTAATGTTAACTTCTAAATGACATTTTTTACTACCCCCAATCTTTAATATAAGAGCTAGTTACTCAATTTGAGCAAATTAAAAAAATTAGTTATTTTAGAAAAGATAAAAAATAAATGTGTTATCTTTTCTAAAAAAACTCTTGCTAATTATGTATATTAGCTAAAATTACTATTTAATGAAACTTTAACATATGCAACTATTATAAGGACTACGTTGGATAAATATGAGAGACAAAATGGATTAAGATTTTATATTTAGAACAAAATTAAATATCAAACTAGCTCTTTTATTAAGTAGCAGGTAGTATTTATTTTCCTTTGAACGACTTACATTTTTTCCTTTGAACGATTTACATTTTTTATTACTCCTTCCAGTTGTATTTATATTTTATAAGACCTTACCGAGTTGGTCTTTAAGACAAACATGACCTTATAAAATTCAATGAAACATTTATGACTTCTTTAAAAAGATACTTCTTCGGTCCTTGATATAAGACTCATTTAATTAATTTGATTAGATTAAGAAAGTTAGGTAAGTTAGTTAATTATAAGAAATGTGACATGTTTTTCCTAAATTATCATAATTATCTTTCTTAATACCCCTTCTTTCTCTTCTACTTGATTATGGTTGAGGGAGTATCCATAGGGATAATTTAGAAAAAATTGATAAATATAAGAAATAGGTCTTATATTTAGGACCAAAACCAACTCAATAATTGGGTCCTATATTAAGGACCGGAAAAGTATATCCTGTTAAACAATTATTTTTCTATATATTCCTATCATATTAAAGTAAGGGTAATTTTAAAAAAAATTATAAAAATTATATTTAATTAATTTTAACTAACTCATGAAAATGTAGTTAATATGACTTTACAAAAAGGATATGTATACTTTTTTTGGGTGAAAGAGAGGATATGCACATTGTATTATGTTATCTGACGTACACACGTAGCCCTCAAAAATAGGGGTGTTCAATTCGTCCTATCCCGGTGAGTTCGAGACGAAACGGGATGGAACCAAAAAAATTTTGGGACAGGATGAGACAGTAACTGGGATATGGGATACAGGACGGGACAAGACAGTAACCGGGATACGGGACGAGGTTGTCCCATTCCATCACGGAGTTTTTCTTTAAAGAAAATTATTATTATTAACTATTATTAGATTATTCAATTCACTTGTTAATAATAATAATTATTTTTATGACAACTTTCAACTCTTAAGTTGTAGTATTATCCCAACAAAATCTTTTTACTCAATAAAATAATTCATAAACCCATTATATAGTGTTTTTTTACGGTTTTTTTTTTTTACAGTGTTCTTTTTATACCCTTTTTATACTATATAATTAGGCTTTCTACATAATACTTTTTTATAATATTTTTATCTTTAGAAGCCTAATAAAAAATAAACATTATAACATGAAAAAAATTCAAACAAAAAATTATAGTGTCTTTTTTAAAAAAAAAGGGAGGGAAACAGGATGTCCTGTTCCTGTCCCGGTCCCGTCTCAGGACACAAGACGAAGATCTGGTCCCATCCTTGTTCATCGGGATGGGAACAAGACAGGCCTGTCCCTGTTCCATCTAGTGAACACCCTTCTCAAAATTACTGCAACTATTATTAGATTATTTGTTAATAACTATTATTAGATTATTCAATTCACTTATTAATAATTATTACTATTTTTATAACAATTTTCAGTTTTTAAGTTGTAGCATTATCTCAACAAAACCTTTTTACTCAATAAAATAATTCATAAACCCATTATATAGTGTTTTTTGCAGTATTTTTTTATAGTATTCTTTTTATACTTTTTTTATACTATATAACTAAGCTTTCTACATAATTTTTTTTACAATATTTTTATCTTTAGAAATTCAATAAAAAATAAACATTATAACATGAAAAAAATTTATACAAAAAATTATAATATTTTTTTGAAAAAAGAGGGGAATGGGATGTCCTGTTCCCGTCTCAATTACGTCCTGGTCCCGTCTCGAGACACAAGACGAAGATCTTGTCTTGTTCCTGTTCATCAGGAGGGGATCAGGACAAGCCTAACCCCATTCTGTCCGGTAAATACCCTTCTCAAAATTACCGCATTTCATTTGTCTTGTGCAATACAAAAGGTGATGTTATTTGTGAAGTCATGAAGGTAATTGCTTATTTTCTCAGCTCAAAAAAAAAAAAAATTGCTTATTTTCGGCAAGTTAGTGCAGCCGAACGGGACACATTTGACCCATAGCCCAACAACATCAAACAAGCCAACAAAATTGGTACCTCCAATAAAAACATATCTATACATAGCAAAATCACAAAAAAAGGTACAGCTCTTTGGTAATGAAGCCAAGTGCACATAGTCGCGTGTATTTATACCTCCCTTTGTTTTTTTTTTTTTTTTTTGCGTTGTTATTCGGTGTGTGATCATTCTTTTGTTCTCAATACTGTGTAAATATTCTTTCTGCGAAGATCCATCCCTTACACATGGCAGTATTCTAGACGTTCACATTGTGATAGAATGTAGGATAAATTTATTACGATGAAATACACATTCCATCGTCTAAATTCTTCTCTATATAGCCCTTTTCTTCTCTGCTCACGAATGAATGACAAATGACATACGAAGAAGAAAACAAAACAACTTGGCCTCCGAATTGATACTCTGAAAGGCCACTGTGAGCTTACATGATGGAGCAGCTCCCGTGATTTCTGTAAACAGCAGCCAATTGATGAAGGAATTATTATTGCAGAGTTAAATAATAAATTATAAATATCATTGTTTCATGTTTTCATACCTCTTAATTTCTTCGTATTTACTAATAGCTTCCTCATATTTGAGACGGAGCGGACCAGTATCTTGAGGGTTCACATTCTTCGGTCCTACAAGATATGCCTGAACAACAAACTCTGGAGTTCTCTCCCTGTGTTACAATCATCAAATCGAGCATGACTTGGTCAAAGGGGGCAACGGAACAGTCAATTCTTTTGGAAATGGCATATGGTCAACAAACAAGTAGAAACAGACCATTCACAACTTGGGTCGAGCGGTAAGGGTGGACTGCTCAAAAAGCCCACCCCCACAAAGTCGGGCAAGACCAAAATGTGGGCCTGGTGAGATATCTTAACACATTTTGATACACACAAGCATAAGAGTATGACGGCTCACCTCCAAATCCAATCCCAGGCAAAGTACAAAGCCTACATCTAGTTTAGGTTGATAATATGCCAGTCGAGCTACAGTAACCTACTCGCGGGGCTGGGTTGGACTTCTTGTGTGGGGCTAATGCTAATATATTTTGATGACTCTAGAAGTATGCCACAAAAGCTGCCACTATTTGGATTAGTAATTTACTAGTGGTATGCAAGCCCAGCTCACCCCATTCAAAGAGTTGGGTCAGGCCGGCCTTGTTGGCCTCTTTATCTTGTGTCAGCCACCCAGTCACGGGGATTCAGAACAACCAGGCTGCACTTGGCATGAAGCAAAAAGAGGGAATGGGATATCACGTAAAAGAACCTTTTTTATGTGATTTGTACTACTCTTGTATCATTATACAATTCTTAACAGCAGGAATATTAGGTTCAGTATGTTCAGTTGGGTTTTGACCACTTGCCAGTTACAATTTTTTTATTATTTTTGAATTAAGGAGACAATGATCATTTTATTAATTGCTGTCTGGTTTCTCTACCAAACGTGGCCACATGTATTGCCATCTAACTAGTTGGTGAAAGTCCAAGTATGGTGGACAAGTTTAGAAGCAGTCAGTGACATACCTCCCTTCGAATTCGGATAGCCATGCTACAAAGGCAGCACCAAAATACATGGACACAAAGGGCTTAGTTAGATCCTCAACAGATTCAAGCCTATAAGCCCTGTAGCCCATCTCCCTGAACAAAATAAAAATTGCTAGAATATGTAAGTATCAACAACCACATTTTACTTTAATACCCATTTGTTTTAAAACTTCAGGGGGATTTTAGCCTCTCATTCATTGATACGACAAGCAACACAGTTAAAAATGTCTAAAAGCATCATGAACTGAGAACATGTTAATTTCCGAAAAGAATGCAGGCACAGATACTTCTAGAATCTCAATCATGGATATGTTCAACACATACACATAAAGCCAGAAAGCAGTGGAATAGTCAATCCCCATTATTCCTGGGCGTCCGCCAATGCCATGTAAAAAACGCATGCTAACAACCTCCGAAATCGCACAAAGTACTGTCTGTAAAATCAGGGAAAATCAATATTTAGTAAAAATAAAATCAAGAAACTTGCGAGATTGCAATTTCTTATCCCCTGTTCAGTCTCTAAAAATTCTCAAAAATTACAATTTCATCGAAGAATATTATAGGTCATTAAAGGGGCAAGTATTTCCTGGGTTCATTCATTTATTCAAGAAAACACTATAGATGCACTTTAACAACCAAAGGTGTTTCTGAACTAGTAATCTTTCTTGTAATGATATCTCAATATGCTTCATTGCTTCAGCAATTCCGTTGGATTCTGTCTATAACATGCCCTGTGTTGCTTGGACTGCTTTTCAGTGTCATTATCTTCATATTTACTTGGATAGCAAATCTTGATAACCATTCACAAAATGGGAAAACGAAAAATCCACATCATTATGTTTAATATATGGCAGCATTAAACTCCTCTGGACAGACAAAATGCTTACAGATTTTATTCCCTTCGTGCTGAAGTATTTGAATAAAATTATATCCGCTACTGCCTGTAAGAAAATCAGAGCATAATATATAGTCTTTAGTGAAACAATTAAATCAGTAGCAGGAAAAAACAGTGAAAATCATACCATCAATAGGATTATTTATACCAACATAATGTAGCAGATGAAGAAAAAGGGGAAGAAAAGAAGAAAATAATTAATATAAATTTGGCTATATATTGCTAGTAAAATAGAGTTATATTTTGCATTAACAGACATATACCTTCACTTCCACCCGTGAAAGATATGGTCTGTTCTTTTCATCTAGAGAAAAGCGCACTTGTCCCCTTTTCTCTTTAGATTTAGTCCACTCTTTCTGGACTTCAGGATGATTCCACATCTCTTCCATGTCTTCAGGAGAAGCTCTAGAGTCCCACAATGTGTAAGCATTTGTCCCTACACCAAAGACAAGGTTGGGTTTGCCAGCGTAATAGCACCCAAGTACAATTTTGAAACCAGAAAAACATCAACCATTGACTTTATGGTTGTCATGACACAATGATTACAGTACAGTTTGTAGGAGACCCTTTTCATTTCTGTCACCAAAGTAATATATGTTTTTTTATTCACAATTTGCACGGTAGGTAGTAATATTCACCTGACTTCTTTAACTAATTGCCCAGTTCTTTTCCTAGGTTTTCCCATTTATGTCAGAGGCCCCTTGTTCTTGCCCTCGCCCTTCCAATTTCTTAATATCACAGATAACACCACTAGCCATTGTTGAAAGCAAATTAGAAATACAGAATGGAAATGATACCTGCAGGAATACACCCTGCCATAAGACAAGATTTGGAACACTACAGTTCAGGTCAAAAAAAAAAAAAGAACACTACAGCAATTAATAATCCACTCATAAAATCTATTTAGTGACAGCCTTGCATAATTAATTCAGCGCAAAAAGAGGGGAAGTCAAATCATTCGGAGAAGGTTGAGAAAATGACCTGAATTTTCTGATGCAGGTACAAGAGATCCAGCAAGAGCATTGCTCTGCAAAGGAATGTTATCAAGAGATTTTCTGCACAACGAAGACATGATGGTAATAACACATCAAGGCATTTTGAAATACTCACTTATTCTAACCCAACAAATAGATTCTAATTCATTAAATAAACCATTGTTATTTAGAAATGTCTCCTATCTTAGTACTGGCAGCATTTCAGGCTTTCATTAGATTGTAATCACTTGACTTTTTTTTCCTTGATTGGATTGTGATCACATGACTGGCTGCAGTCAAAATGCATAACTGGGAACCAAACAAAAGATATACATCACTTGATGATGGCAAATCAAGAAAGTATAAAACAATGCTTGATATTTGAAACTTAGCCTCATCATTAGATAAACAGATCCCTGTGTGGATTGTGCTGATTATGGCTGGAATGAAATGCAAGTATTTTCAAACAAAGATTCTTCCTTTGATTTTTCAGAGGAAATCTATTTTTTGGGACGTTTCATGGAGGATTCCTTATCCTCCACCTTTGAACTCGTTTCCTTTCACATAATAATTTAATTTTCTATACTAAAATGTAAACTGCTGGAAAAGTTTTTTGAGAAAAAAAAAATCAATTTCTTCATGTAAGCTTCAATCCACCAAAAAGAAGGAAGCCACCACCTTGATGGAAAACTTTCTTTGACTGCAAGATATCGTTTCCAATAGGGCAAAGTTGATTTGTGAGTTGCCTTCTTTGGACCACCTTTATATGCCCTTACCATAAACTCTTCACTTCTTTCCCTGCAGGCAATGCCCTCGAGGATAAATATTTCAGAAACACACCATCATGGCAACCAGATGAAACTGAAGAACATGGCACTTACGTATCCTCAAAATTTGACAACCACTTAATATAAGCAGCACCAAAGTATACATTTATAAATGGTCGGTATAGGACATCTGAATTCCCTTCTGCTAGATATGAAGAATAACCTAATTCACTGTAAGCTACAGTCAACTTTACTGAGATATAACAGTATTAAGAAACTTTAGCTTCATGAAAAAAGCAAACAACATATACCCAGTACCTTATCAACCACTCTGAGTCATTTGGCATAAGTTGCATAAGCCCAAACCTACGCTGTTTAGATTTGCCCTCAGAGCGTGTAACTAGGAGAAGCCTGTCACTTTCCAGTTCAGCAATAGCACAAACCATGGCCTGCACCAAACGAAAGAATGCCAACCTTTAAAAAAAAAGGCCATACGCTCTGGAATAAAAACGAAAATTTGGCATATAGATTTGCAGATTCTTGAGAACATCGTTGATCTTAAAAGAAGTAACATCCAAGGCATATAACGATGTCAAATGTTCATTGCATTTAATCTAGTATTAGACCATTAGTCACTCTATCTCATAAGATAATAAAAATAGGAAAAATGAAATTATATGATTTAAAATTGAAAAATAAAATAAGACATACAGGATCTATCTTTGAGGGAAAGTGTCTGCCAATAACAATCTCAGCTACAGCCTGAAAATACACATAGTAAAAAAGATGAAGTAAATCTACAAGTATCATTGACTAACGTATTTTGAATCCATCAAACACATTGATGCTATTTCAGAACTCCCTGTACTCATTTTCTGAAATAATATAAAGGTGAGCCAGATGCATAGAAGAAACAGAAACTCCGTTTTATTCTTACAAAAAAAAAAAGTTTGAGAGAAAAGAAAGAAGTAAAAGGGCGGAGGAGAACATATCCCGTTAAAAGAAACCAAGATAGAAATGCAAATGGTCAAGTAAGAATAAATTTTTTAAATTTAATTTTTAGAAGATGCTCATCCATTATTAAATTTTAACAAACAAAAGGCACCAGTAACTTCTAAGCATCCCGCAGAAAGCTTGAATTTTAAAACATAATTTTTTTATGTTTGTCAATTACTTGATAGGCTAGGCGGTAACTAGAAGTTACAATAGTCAGTAAGCAATGTCAAGCTTAACCATTGTTTTAATTAGAGTAAACATGTTTACCCTCAATTCAGTCTGTGTCAAATATGGCTGTCCATCAGGATCTCGCGAGAGGTGAACCCTCTTCCCTTTCGACTCTCCAGCTTTTAACCATTCAGTGCTCACATCCGGAGTATTCCACATGGCCTCCAGGTCCTTTGGTTCAGCACAGTCATCCCAAAACGTGAAACTGACGGCCATTCTGCCATATAAAGTTAAACTATCAAGTTTTAGCACACACCTAAGAGAAATTTACTCAAGTTAAGAAAAAAGACAGCTGAAATAACAACTTCTGGATTGTACTAAACTTGACTAGGCCCAACTTTATCAAGATATACAACAGCAAAGGCTAATTCCGAGACAACATGAACTATGCTAAGCACAAATAAATACATAATAAACATAATTCGTGACGAAGTCATCCAGAATAAATCTTTCGAGGAACCTTTTTTAACTCCCAGATTGATAGCAAAACACTGTAACAACAGAACAGGTCCGGCTTTTTTATCAGGCACTAATGGAATAGTGAGAAATGCTGATAAACTAAACGTAGAATAGTAAGAATAGCTTATCAACTAAACTTGATCGTTTTAAGCTTCTAAAAATTGGAATTCGAGACGCCACAAAGGGGATATTCTGTAAATTCATCAATTGTGCCGAACTCTTCATTCAGCCAAAAAGAAATCCGCAATCATATTGAATAACCATGTTCCAGTGAACGCCACAACCCTAAAGCAACATTGAATCGAGTCTGAACTCGTTGATTGGATGACATTGTGTGAAATCCAACTGAAAAATGAAATTTTAACGGATTAAATCCTAGTTAACATTGAAAATAGTCAGGAACATACTTAGATGCAATCGCCAATAGGCTTTTACAAGGAGATGATGGAAATTCTGCCCCGGGAGGCCTACAATGGAGGCGAAGGAACGTACGTGGGAGAAAATGGTTTATAATGCAAGAAATGGAAAGCGTTACGAAGGAAAAAGACAGCAATCTTCTTTCTCTGTTTCTTTTTTTTGGTGCGGAAAAATGATAATTATTGAGAGAGTGACACCTGGCATGCCACGTTGATATTCTCTCACGACTCTTTTCTCCTGTGGGTCCATTAGGGGAAAATCACATTTTTGGACTCAATCCCAAGAACTTGGGAACTTATACTCTTCGTCTTCCTCTTCTGAGTATAAAATTTATTTTATAATACTACTTTTTATCTTAATTATAATATTTTATTTATCGATTATAAATAGAACTTTATAATTAAAATCAAGAAATTAGGAACTTATACTCTTCCTCTTCTGAATATAAATTATTTTATAACACTACTTCCGGTTTTAACTATAAAAACTCATTTGTAGTCTGCAAATGAGGTCTTATAATTATAACCAGAGATACTATAATTTATTCTATAAAATGAGTCATATACTTAAAATCAAAATAGTACTTAGTTAATTACTATAACATGCACATGAGATTAGGATAACCTCTTTAAAATACTTCCTCATAGCGTTAGGTTATATATGGTCGGCAAAAAAATTATATATTATTTTATAAATTATGTAAATTAGTTTATTGACAAATAATAAATAAATTGAATTGTATTTTATATTTAAAATCAAATTCAATATTTTATCTAACTCATGTATTAAATGGTGAAGGGAGTGATTTAAATTGATAGAACAAACACCTATGACTTATCCCAAAACATAACAATTTGTTGACAAGTGACTTATATCTAGATATGACGATGTGGATGAGACCACGAGTCATATCCATGACTTGTAAATACTAAAATTTATCAGAACTTTTATGTATATTTATATTAATGGTGATTCTAACATGCCTTATAAAATTCACTCATAATTTGTATACTTAAAATAATTATGATTTGTACATATGTATCGATTCCGTTCAATCCAAAATTTACCAAACTTACTCAACAAATTCCTTCTCTATTGAAATAAAAATGGCAAAGGTACAAAAGAAAATATTTGGATTATATCTATTTTAGGTGCATCTCATTTCGAAAATTAAAGTTGATACCCCTCGAGATCAAGATTTATGTTGATACCACTCGAGTTAAAGATTTATGGCCTTCCATGTCGATAGTAATTTTATTTTCTATTATACTCAACAGAAATAAAAAAAAAATCAGCTTTATATGTTTTCTATTTGGCCATCAGTTTTATATGGTTTTGAAAGACGCATCTCTTAAAAACTAATTCAATTTTTTTTTTACAATTTTTAACCAAAAAAAAGGTGATTCTCGAAAGATAAGGTGAAAAAAATCCTCAGGTGAATCTCAAAAGCTAAGGCTAAAAAAAAAAAGAAAAAACCTCTCTCTCTTGTAAAATTGTAATGCCAATATTACATACAACCACTTGTCCTAATTATAAGACCTTATTTCTAAACTAAAAATAATATTTTATAATTAAGACCAGAAGTAGTATAATCATACAAAGAGGCTTTCATGAGAAGATGACTAAAGTATATATTTAGTCCTTTAATTTCAGAGAAAGTTTTAATCTAGTCTCTTAACTCTAAAAAGTATATTTAACCGTCCTTTAAATCTAAAATTGTTAACAAAAAAATGATGATACTGAAATCTTAAATGTTGAGAAAACATTCTCAAATACTAATATATTAAGTTTAATTTTCAAAACAACCATGGTTGTTATAAAAAAGCATCATTTAAGCCTAACGATTTTAGGGTTAAAAGTATATTTTTTTAAGTTAATGGACCAAATTAAAAACTTGTATAAAATTAAAGAACCAAATATAAACTTTAACATGTAAAGATAAGTCTCTATTTTATGGTGATATCGATGAGTGATTAATGTTAGGTGATAGCAACACATGATTTTGAAGTTATTAATTAAGAAATAAAGCATAAACGTATAGATATAATTAGATGCATTTTTGTATTTACACAGATCAATCTGGAATATAATACAAAGTGTGTTCATATGGTCCGTGATTTCTCATCATAAATCTGTATGAAAGTATATCAATTTTCAATGCAAATGATTTACAAATTAATTGCTTCATTTAGTCCTTAATATATTAAATTTGGTCTTAAAATATAATATCTTAATTTATTTTATCTATCATATTTAACATTTTCTTCCAAATCAATTTATCTAACTTATCGATATATAATGTAAATGTTTTACATGAGGACTTTAAGGAGGAGACCATATCATGTTTGTTGTAAGTAAATAATTTATTTATTTTTATACCTACAAAGGAAATGATTTATTTGGCTTCCTTAATCCTCTCAAATTAATAAGTAATTTTTATAATAAAAACTCAAAGTAGTGTAACAAAATGCTACCTTCAATCCTTAATTTAAAAGTTAGATAACTAATTTTTAGATATTAAAAAAATTAGTTAAGTTAATTATTTGTAATAAATAGATATTGTCTTTTTAAAAATATCCTATTAATCATGTGCATTGAAACTATTTCTTGATGAAAACTCCCTGACATGTGAAACCACCATATGAATTATTTAGGGGTAAAATGGATAAATGTTGGAAACACTGTAGACTGAGATCTTATATTTAGTATTAAATTGAATTTCTAACTAGCTCTTATGTTAAGAATTAGAAGTAATACTATACTACCTCTGGTTTTTAATATAAGATATTGTTTAACTTTTATTTTTTTTCTAAATATAAAATCTCACTCTACTTTGTCTATCATATTTATGTTTTTTTTAAGGCAGTTTTTTTAATAATGATAGTTCTAGCCAATATATTTGATTGGTAAGGATATTTTGAAAAATATAACACCTATTTATTACAAACAACTATTTTTTTTATCTACTCAAACTAGTTAACTAGCTCTTATATGTAATACTAGAGGTAGTAGTTTGTTATGTGATCCATATGAGTAGGGGTGTTTTATAGAGTCTGGTTGCCTGCTATGTCCAACCAAGCCCGCAAAAAAAAAAAAGCCTAGCTCGCCCTAAAAAAAATGGCTTGAAAGAAATATTAGGCATGTTTGAGCTAGGCAAATTGCCAGGCAATGTTGGGCATTGGGTACGGTATGCTACCCTGCCTACTTGGCCCTGCCTACAAAAATATATATAATTTTATTTATATACATATTATTCATCTTATATTTATCTCCTGAAACATATTGTTGCATCAATATTTAGTGTTCTTAATGTTTATTTATTTTCAAATGATTTTGAGAGTTAGATGTCTTATCATTTACTGCGATCTGTACGACTATTCTACTTTTTTATGCAAACATTATGACCATTGACACTTGTATATTGGTAAATAAGTAATTATATATCGTTTATTTTGAGCATGACTTCAATAGCTTATAGAAGGATAATTGAGTTATTTTGAAATTTGTTTTGCTTCTTGTTTTTCTAAAACTGCGTCTTTTTGTTTAGTTAAAATTAAAAGCTGATCAAGATACTTTAAAAATTTATTAAACCAAAACAAAGTTAAAAAAATTCATATTTGGTTAAGAAATTTTAGAAACTAGAAAAGCAATTGAGTTTAATAAAATATACTAACAAGATTTTTTTTGTCATAGTCCACTTCTCTTAGCTACTACAAAATGTAGTTTCATAATATATTAATTAGTAATAACAAAATTAAGGCCAAGTTGCCATTTTAATATAAAGTTACATTATATTTTTTAGAAGGACGTAAATAATTAGTTAATTAATATAGTATATTGATTTGTTAGGCATGAAAGCCCGCCCTTCCTAACCCGCATTTGCCCAGCCCGAAGTTACTAGGGCTTTTTATGGGCCATATCGGGTAACAGGTTGCATTTTTTGACCTGTTCATTTTTCAGGCTATACATCAAATAAGGGTTCTGCCCTACCCAATCTTGGTCATGTGCAGTCCTACATATGAGATGAATTTTATCATACATGGCAACTCATACAAGGCCCAAGACGAATTAGTTAATTAGTTAGCATTTCTCTTGATCCTAAATATAGGAATTTGTCGAGGTCTTTATTTTGATTTTAAACATACAATTTTAATCTATTTTTTTCTCCCAATATTATAAATTTTTTTCTCAGGTTGTTTCTATTGATTAAAGAGTTTTTCTATTAATAGGATAATAATTAAAGAGACTTTATTAAAAATACCAATACATGTTATCATAAATAACTAATTTAATCAACTTATTAATATCAGTAAATAAGTTATTTAGTTTTTATATTTATT